AAAAACATTCGTATTTTTTGCGCGAATGTCGGCCCTTTTTCCCTTTGGCCTCCGCGGCTCTCTTCCCCGTCATGACCCCTTTTCATTTAGATTAAAACCGGGCTAGGTTGCATTTAAAGGGTGCCAAAGAGAACCTTTCTGGAGTTTTAAACGGGGAATCTAGCTCTGCCATTCATATTTTCACATTGCCACAAGAAATTCTTAGGTTAACGAAACCCAAATTAGTTCACATTTTTTTACACCGGGGCCCTTTGTAGTTTTGGTGGCCTACGGCTTTACCATAAACAAAAATACGGTAACGGGGTTTACTAACGGGTTTGGAAGTAAAAGGACCCAAAATTTAATTTTTTGAAGGTTGACGGGGGGGGGGGGGGGGGGTATACAGATTTTTTTTGTTAGTCTGTCTTTTAATTGAATTTTTTTTTTAAAGTCCCTAGTATGGAAAATTTGGGGGGTACAGCCCATTGGACAAATATATCGACGATTTGGGTTCGACATTTATCCAGATAGTGGCTTTTTAAGAATCTAGGCGTTCTTTCAGAACGAAATTGCGGGGGTGGGGGGATGTAAAAGAAATGTATCGTACATATAACCAGATTGTGACCGGTAAAATCAGTATTGGAACTCTTCGCTGGCTGCTGAAGATGAGGTTAGAGCGCGCATGGGAATGCCCCAACTGCTGTGACGTCAATTCTTAACTCAACTCAACTAATGTATGGTAAAAGTAAGAAAATAAATCGACTAATTTCGTAGATCATTAGACTTTTAATCTTATCGCTGAGCGTTTCAGTCACAATCTGTGAAATTTATAAGAGGGAGAGAGAGAGAGAGAGAGAGAGAGAGAGAGAAAGAGAGAGAGAGAGGGAAAGAGAGAGAGACAGACAGGCAGACAGACAGACAGACAGACAGACAGACAGACAGACAGACAGACAGACAGACAGACAGACAGACAGACAGACAGACAGACAGACAGACAGACAGACAGACAGACAGACAGACAGACAGACAGACAGACAGACAGACAGACAGACAGACAGACAGACAGACAGACAGACAGACAGACAGACAGACAGACACACAGAGATAGGGAGAGAGAGAGAAAGGGAGAGAGAGAGAGAGAGAAAGAGAGAGAGAGGGAGAGAGAGAGAGAGGGAGAGAGAGAGAGAGAGAGAGAGAGAGAGAGAGAGAGAGAGAGAGAGAGAGAGAGAGAGAGAGAAATATGCGGATCTTCATCGCCAGGAGGTTAGGCTTTTTTCTCGAGTTAAGGCATTCTGGATTCCTTTTACAGACTGTGTTTTACGATTTAGGAGAGCAACTTGGTGAGAATATTACTGCTGATTATCACTGGAGTTACGGAACTTACTTGCCTGAAAACGGCTGGGAGAAGAACCCAGAAGATTTAGTTTCCTCCCTCTAGGATTGCAGTCTGTAGGATCAACATCCTAAAGATGAGAATCAAACCGGCACAAATCCCAGAAATCCCGTTCAGGTGTGTAGACGTAAAAAAAAGTAGTTTTATATGACACCACAAAACTGTTACCAAGTCATCTATGGTCCAGCGTGAGTAGGTCTGAGTAGTTTCGGTAGAAGATATAGATCCAGGATAGAAGATGGAAAGTGAGATGTTACAATTTCCGGTTCATCGATTTCGGCTGGCAGTTTACAGTAGAAGAAAAAATGTAGACTAAGAGATCCCCTTTCTACACCTTCAAAGCGTTCTAGGCATAAAGTACCAACCAATATTTACATAGACTAATCTACATTCATTTGGTGATGTGACCACAATTAGGTTTGCTGCCTTCACTTTAAGAAAAATGGCATATGCTTATTTAGGATCCACCTAGAAGCTTGTTAACTGAAAATATCTGCTTTAATGGGGTTTCCTGACTGCGCAGCGACCGGGTGACGAACTCCTTGTGGTCCAGGTTAACGCCCGGGGATAGTCAGAAAGCCACATTTCTCTCAGATTTACGGTATCTATCATGGAATCAAGGCCGAAGAGTTGCGATATCCATTGTACTCAGGGTTTCTGGATTTTTGAAACAAAAAAAGTGAGGGGGGCGGGGGGTTCAAATTGTTTAACCACCAAGCGGACTGGCAAAAATATTATGCAGAGATTTATGTCTAGACCTTTGGCCTCTATGAAAACGGAAGACGACATGCATGAAAGTTTAATAAGTGGCCGAAAAAAAACAGACAAAAAAAAAAAAAAAACAACAACAAGATAGTATCACCTGAAATGGATACGGAGGTAATGCTAAAAGATGAAGATGCATCCATCAAACGCACTGGAAAACCTAATTTCGACAGATTATTTTAGGGGTATCAATCTTAACTCTTTGAGTCTCAGGGGGTTTAGCATCAGAGGCCCAAGGGGTAGTCAAAAGAGATGTAGAATCGGCGCATCTTGCGTTCATTGGGCCTATAGGCGGGAACCTATGAACGTATGATGCGTTCCTTGGGACTCAAAGAGTTAAGACTCTACGGGCAATTATTCAAGCAATGTCGTAGAATGCTGGGACTATATATATTAGGCTGGTTTAACGTTTGATGTGTTAATTCCAGTAGCAACAAACATGCCACTTCACACCCTGCTGAGAGTAATGCTGCTGTCGCTGTTGATGTCGCTGGGGGTACAACAGCGGCAGCAACAACAACAATAACAACTACGTATAATGCGTCTGTTTCTGCTATTGCTACTACAATTTCGCTACACCTACTGATTACTTTTGGTACTACTACTACTGGTATTAAACCATCCTACTACTTCTACTACTAGTACCACTTGTACCACTATTACTTCTATTACGACCTCATATTCTACTGCTATTACTATTGGTTCTCTTGCAACATTTGATTACAATAGGGATCAGTATTGAGCAGAACTTTTCAAACTCTGTCGTGAAACAATAGAATTTCCCTTGTAGTGTAAATATGTGTTGTGCGAGCAAATAAAATTCAAACAAATCAGCGGCACACAA